GGGGGATGAAAATGAAGAAGTGAAGGAGTTGGGTGGGGGGTGGAGGTGAAAATTATGAAGTGAAGGGGGTTGGGCAAGGAGGAGAAGCAGAAAAAGAGAAGGAGATGGAGGGTGAGAGATAGAAGAGAGGAGGAGGAGCAAATAGAAAAGGGGGAAGAAGAAAAGGAGGATGGGGACGAGAAAGATGTGGAAAAGGTTAAGGTGGGAAGAAAGAAGGAGAAGAGATGGGCATTGACGAAAACAATTGAGGAGAACATTTTTTAAAGTCTACAAATGATCAAAACACTCAAGAAAGCAAGACAAAGATAAAAAAAAAGAGATGAAACTTAAGATGAAAATAATAAAAGAAAAAATAATGTGCTGACAGAAAGAGCATTACAAGAAATCAAGAACAATGAACATAAAAAGATTTCTGGGATCCCCAGACTTGCCAACTTTTTCAAAACCCAATCTGGGGCACCCAATGTTACAACATCCGTTTACGAAACAACGTACAAAAATGACAACACGCGGGACTGGGTTTTGTGTAGTGTATGTGATAAAGCTCTCAAGCTCTCAAATTCAGAACTGCCAGATCTGAGACAGTTCAGGGAAATTTGGGACAGTAGGCAAGCTTAGACTCCTATAATTCTGCCCAAAAATTTCAGCTACAAACGATAATGAATAGGACACTCACAAAATTTCGCCCGTTGTTCTGGCAACCTGGAACCAAAATGGCTGGCCGGGTTTGGAAAGAGTGACGAGAAAGTCCCCAAAAGTCAGCACATTGCCTGCTCCCATCTCGTGCCCGCTGTGAGCATGACCTGGCCACGCCGACCCCTGACCCCTCCCACAATGCCGTCTGTTGTGCAGTAGTGGAACCTCCCATCTCTCACGATCTGCGTCGCGGATCTAAAAGATAAAAATAAAATCTGAATGGCATTGTGGGGAAATCAGGCGCTCGTCTAGATAGCGTGAAATTGAAGGAACTGACATATTTTATGACGGCCTTTGCTAAATTTATATCAATTTTTTTTCAGCTCAGCTTTTTTTACATCAATTTTTTTAATTCATTTCTGTGAGGTGTTTACTGAAAAAGGTTGATCGAAGCATAAAAATGTAAATTTTGGAAGTCACCAAACTCTGGCAGCCATTTTCTCATTTACTGTACCTCTGACACCAGGTAACAGACACCTCCTTCAATTGCAAATATCATGACTTCTATTCAAAAAAGATAGATTGTTTTGGGCTTTATTTTTTCCCCAAAAGCAAGACATATTTTGTATAATTTGGGCTTTTGGTAGAGTTGGAAAGAGAAAATTCCCTTTCGTTTGACACCATACATTCAATTGAATTAGATAATATATATAATGAACTTAAAGCCTCACTCCGGTTTGAAGCAGAAATACTGAAATGTTCGCTATCAAAGACTTGACACTTGACAAATATCTTAACAGCAAATTACATTTTCTAAAATTGCTAAAACCACATTTAAGAGTATACTTTCAAGAAGTTTATATTGACTCTCAGACGGAAAAGTCATCAAAGAGACAAAAAAAGAAAGAAAAAATATATTGTTTCTTAATCCTAGATACAACAAGTGTTTTTGGCGCAACTTTTGCTATTCAGTTTGATGATGTACCTTGAGGACCGAACCATCGAGAACAAGTCACAAACACAAACCTGTATATTCAGAACATTAGTAGAATGAGCAAAGAAGTCTGCCTGGATATTTCTGACATCCCTGGGGTAGGGTGACCCCTTGGTCAGTGTGGCCTTGACCTGGCCGTGACCTCTGCTGGAACTGACAGCCTGAGTGCGGTATGACTGGTAGTCTAGAGGGAAGTAACACTCGGGCACTGTCAGACCGGAGGGAGATGGGGGTCGAGGCTTGAGGGGTGGCCTCCTGTGAACACCACACAGCAGAACCTCATGACATCAAAACTCTCACATCATTGCCATAAAAATGTGAGGCATGGTGGTGAAATCAGGTGCTCTCAAAATAGCGGCATTTTTCTGCCGGTGTGGCAATTTGTTTCAAATTTTTGTTTTTTGACAATTCTGATTCCACCGCGTCGTGATACATATATAGATTAGATGTTTCCCGTTATTACTTAATGATATTTTGCATAAAATTTGTCGAGTTCTGAGACACCTCTCTCCTCAAATTTAATAAACAAGAAACCCCTCTATTCTAATAATAGATAAAAAATAATAAACAATTTTGACATATTATTTGTATGGAACATATATATATACATCTCCATTCAACAAGCTCTATGCACTTTACAATCTATATTATTACCAAAGCAGACCTCATAACACTTAGAAACATTTTCGCCTCCATGGAAGCATATGCAGTGCAAGCACTAACTTACCAAAAAGATCTTTTGCTGAATAAAGCCTGACACTCATTCTTGAGTGGGTGAAGTGAGGAAAATTTGTATAAAGTGCCGCTCCCATAGACACTATGTTACGCCCCCTGATGGTGTTCGAACCAATGACCTTTTGGTTTTGCAGATGGCAGCCTAATCACTAGACAACTATACCAGCATATCATCAGGACTGCAATGAAAAAAAATTGGAAAAATCCACAATCTCTCAACTTTGAGAAAACTACTATTAATAATAATAAAGGATAGCATTTGTTACGCAAATTCCAGCTCAACAGCAAGCAACGCGATTTACAATTTATTATTATTACCTCAGCACACCTGATGTATTCTGAAACAATCTCAACTTCCTGGGAAGCATATATATATAGCACAAGCTGTCACTTTACAAAGGCACTAAAACTAGAGCTTAAGAGGTCCGGCTCAGAATATCACGGTATCGTATGACCTTTTCTTTTTAATCCATGTTCTTTCTTCATCAAAGTCACTGCCTTATCATATTCCTAAATTATTTTGGTAGATAGTAGGGTCTTCTCAGGTAACAGGGTTCATACTAAACAGGAGATTTCTTTTTCCAAGACTTTTACATGAGTTTTCAAGACCAGATTTATTTTTTCCAAGACAAATAAAAGGTGTCATTTCAAAAGAAAATTTGTTCTGGTGTGGGTTTTTAAAAAATTCAGAATACATAAAATTTGAGGAAATATTTTTACATTAAATCTAGTAAAAAATGTGTTTTTCCAAGTCTTTTCCAAGAATTTTGCCAATTTTCTGAGATTCCAAGAGTTTTCGTTTTCCAAGACCTGGAACGAACCCTGAGGTAATATAGTTGAAAAATATAGACGAGGGGCATACCAAAAGTTTTTTACCTGACCATGAAGGAATAAAGGAAGAAAGCTGAAATTTGTGGTTACAGCCAACAATCATCTTCCTAGAAAGCATGTAAATATGGGAGAATTTCCAATCACTGATTTTAACACCAGCGCATTGTAAGTAAATGGGGGTATGTTGTTCTCTAGTTTCAACATAAAAATGGAGAAAATTGAGCAATGGGCAGTAATGAAGTTTTTGTTCTTGCAAGGCAAGCAACTACAGGATATTTTTACGAAGATGCATGCCATATATGGAACGGATTGCCCATTATCCTATGCGGTGATAAAATTTTGGTGTAACAAAATCAAATGCGGATTCATGGACATTGAAGATGGCCGCTGTGATGGTCGCCCAGTGACAGCAACAACAGAAGAGAAGGTGTTGAAAATCCAAAAACTTGTGTTGTCTGAGAGGCAGGAGACTGTCGAACGTTTGAACAAAGAAACTAGGCTTAGTGTTGGATCAGTTTAATGAATCTTACATTTGAACATGAACAAGGTTTCTGTGAGACTGGTTCCATGTTTGTTTACTCCTCCTTAAAATGTGCAACAGGTTGACCGGTTCTCAAGAATTGCTTGGTCCATATGAAAAGGATGAAACTACATTTTTTTAAAGAATTGTAACCATGGACAAGACATGGGTCCACCACTACGATCCTGAGTCAAAATCTGCATCAATGCAGTGGAAAGCGCCCTCGTCTCCAACACCAGAGAAACCAAAGGTGCACACAGCCATCAAGTGTTTTTTGGGACCAAGAAGGAGCAATTAAGACAGACTATCTTGAAAATGGACATACGATCACCGGAGACCATTATTCTAACCAGCTAAAAATTTACGAGAGGCAATAAAAGAAAAACGCACAGGAAAGATCCGAAAAGGCATTTCGCTGCTTCACAACAATGCGCCAGCACACACTTCAAGTTCAAGAAAAGCTGCAGAAAGTGGATATGAAATTTCGCCACATTCACCCTATTCTCCAGATTTAGCCCCGTCCGACTTTTTTTTATTCCCCAAACTGAAAAATGATTTAAAAGGAAGACATTTTGAAAGTGCTGATGATGTCAAAGAAGCAGTAGAGGGCTGGTTTTCTAATAAAGAGAGGGTCTTCTATTCTCAAGGTCTTTTCAAGTTCATACACCTTTGGCAAAAATGTATAAACTGTGGGTGGCGACTACATAGAGAAAGGTTTTAAGCTCAGTAACAAATTTCAGCTTTCTATCTTTGTTCCTTCATGGTCAGGAAAAAAACATTTGGTATGCCTCTCGAGCTATATACATGATGTAGAGAATGGATCCATGAGCTGAATGCATTTACTGTTACCCTCCTACAAATATAATTTCTCTCTCACCAACAGCACCCTCGTGCCTCACACTCGGTCTGTGCGGGTGTTCCCTGCGGAAAACAGTCAAACCGCCAGTCATCCCCTCCGATGTCACACGCAGCATCATCCACCGTCATAGTGACCACTGCAGGGTCAGGAGCAGCCACAGACTTGACCAACAGCCACAGCAACAGACACAGCCGCACCATCAGCAGGTCAGATAAGGAACTCATGTTCTGGGGGGATACAGGATGAGCACGCTAAATACAGTGTGGAGTCTAGATTTTCTAGATCTAGAATATATAGATCTAGACTTACAATAATCTAGATCTAGATTCTAGATTCTAAACTGCAATAATATAAGAGGGAGCGTCTGATTTTCTTCAGTTTATCTCAATTTTCAGATTTGAATTTGAGAGGGCTAGACTAGATCTAGATTCTAGATCTAGATTAGATCTAGACTCTAGAATCTACTCAAATTTAATATATATATATATATTTTTTTTTTTTTTTTTTTTTTTTTTTTTTAAAGAAAAAACAGTGATTTGTCAACAAACTGATGCCGAACCACCAGATTCCACATCAAACTGTGTGTGGCACAGTACTTGTAAGATCTAATCTAGATTCTAGATCTAGATCTAGATTCTAGATCTAGAACTTGATCTAGAAATCTAGATCTAGATCGGCGATTTTGTAGTTTCGTTTGTTAAAGTCAGGAGTAGGGGGGTTTCAGGGGGGCTTGCCCCCCTGACCTAATTATACAAATTTTATATGGAGGTGGGGGGGGTTCAGGGGGGCATGCCCCCCTGAATTTTATCCTAATTTGATGTTTTGCAGTTTGGTTGCATCCCTGCTCTTTGTGTAGCCTAATTCAAATAGTATTTGGTCTTCATCAAGACTTCTGGATTTCTTCTCTGGATGTAAACAAATGGATCGTGGACTTTAACGAACGGAACTAGATCTAGATCTAGATCTACCTAGATCTAGACTAGCTAGAATTTAGTCTCTTAGAATAGAACTTTATTTCTATCATCAAAAGACGACAGAGTAGATCTATCTAGATCTAGATCTAGTTCTAGATCTATATCTAGAATAGATCTAGATATAGGATCTATCTAGATTTAGATCTAGAATCTAGATTTCTAGATTCTAGTCTAGAGTCTAGAGCAATCTAATCTAGAAATCTAATAATTCATGTTATTTTCTGCTTACCAAATCAAGAGCGCTTTCGAGGTCTAGGGGCACACATTTTTCATGACAAATGTGTATATTTCACCAGCTCTGATACAGTAAAATGTAGAGTGTTGCAGTTGTTAGAGCGAAATGAATCCCCTCAACCTCTCCAGATCTAGAAACTCAAATCGGACAAAATCGGATATTCAATATATTCATACGATTTCGAAACTAACAAGGGGCACGACTCTATTGATTTAAAAGAAAGGAAAGTAGATCAAGTGCCAAAAAGAATAATTGCAGATTTTCTTATTTTCTTCAAGCTGAACATGCTGTTTATCGCAATATCATACCATAATTGATTATATCACAATGAATTGCAGAAATCAAACCTATACGTTTGACCTATCTCCCTGTGTACAAATGGCTATAGATCTAGATTCTAACATCTTTTTTCTCAGTGGTAGTCTCAGCACGCCTCTCTCTCTCTCTCTCTCTCTCTTTCTCTCTCTCTCTCTCTCTCCCTATCTATCTACCTATCTATCTATCTACCTATCTATCTATCTCTTACAGAGCACACTGCTATATTGTACAATAAATCAGAGAAGGAAAAGCCGCGAGTCTAGCCGTATTTAGATCAAAGATACTACACAGCAGTCTAGCCGTCATTAAGTACGGCTAGCCTCTTCCTTCCCCTTTCCCGCCACGGTCTGTTGGTTTGTGTTTTGGGAGTGTTTTACGGCGCCGCTATGAAAGGTAAGGTCCTTGACTGTCCCTGAGATCGCGCGTAAACAGAATTGTCACGAATCGGTTCCATCTAAAATTGAATGAGTCATTCGGATCAATATTACATGACCCGTGGGGATCAGTAGGATAGCAATAACGGCAACCTCCAATGGACGCGTTGGCAACGTACAC